CAGTTTTATTATTATATTATTATGCACAGGCTTGTAGGTCCTGTTGAATACCAGGAAGTGGAAAATCTTTATCGATACCGTTAGCATCGAGGATATCACTCGCTTCTAATACTAGTTTTGATGACAAATAATTCTCGCGGCTTAGAACATAGAGAAATTCTAAAAAAATTAAATATTTTTGATAATAAATAGTAACGAGTAGTACATTCTTTATAAATACATTCTCCCGAATAAAGGATTGTATAATTTTTGGGGCTTTTACTGTAAGAGTTTGATACATGTTAGGTTTTTCCAACGACGATGTAATATAGGTATACTAAATGAGAAATTATTTATTAAGCATTACCGATAAGTTCTTGAAATGTTTGATAAGTAATTTCTAATTGTATTAGGTGTAATAATGTTTTAGGCAAACCTTGATTGTACGTGACTTTTTAAGATAATCTATAATTGGACTTTTCGGTTAAAAATTAACCGAATTAAACTGACGTTTAAAATATGTAATAAAAAAATGGAAAGGTTTTTTATGACTACATTCTATATCTGGTCTGTATGTCCGAATTTTGACGTATTAGAGGCGATCGCGCATAATTGCAAAAAATTTAGCGGGTGTCTATTCGGCTGTACAGTTGGTTGCATACTTTGTAAAGCATCATTGATAAAGCGTAGCAGGTACGAAACTCCGGCGATAAAAGCTCAAAAAATCGTTAATTTCATAGCAATTCTTACATGTACTAACTTATGCATGTAGGTAAATCTTGAGATTTAGAGCTTTTACAGTAATATATATGGATATAGTTATTCTTACCCCGTCTGTGAGCCTTGTCAATGTTGGAGCATTGGTAAAGAATGGCGAATTCACCGTATTTAACTCCAATGACTTTAAATACAGATCGTTTAGGTTCTTTGGGATAATCTAATTCTATCCCTTGTAATTGGGAACCGTGTGATACTTTTACTACACCTTGCCCTCTAACTTTTACACCGGTGGTTAGATTTTTGTGTTCATAAACGGTAAGCAAGTTTTTAGAACTCGTTGCAAAATAACGTTCGACCCGGCAATCGAAGATAGGTGAGTTTGCCATTATAGCGTAATATGGCGCCCCATTGTCTGCAAACTATGAAAAAAAAATTATGAAGCAGGTGAATGTATTGTTTTTTTTTTTGTTTTAATTATAAATACAGTTTACTTACCTTCTTTGCTTGGAAAGATTTTACCGCTTTAACATTCTTTCTGTCTTTGTCATTACATTGGCCTGGCGAGACCTGTGAGTAAGCAAATGAAAATAATGCAAGAAAAACAATCGCTGAAAAATGCTTAAACATTTTTACTCAGTTTAATTAGCAACTTTCAAACGAAAATCGTTCAGCAAATTGAGTTAACTAACTCAGTTGGGTCGGGTTACCTATTTATATGATTTTTACCGATTTCGCGCATCTCTTAATTAATGATAAAGCTAATTAGTGTGTTCGCGCGTGAAAGTACTCATGGATATAATAATCGTATCTGTAAAATTTGAGGAAATTTTGTTTCAATTGATATTACATTTATATTAGACTTATTCAAGATAGGGACTTTCTAACTATGTTAATTATTTCATTCACTAAAAATGTTAACGATTCCTCTCCATTTTATATGAACAACTCAATTATTATAATTATTCAATTACTTCTGTGGTGTAAAAAATGGAGAAAATCGGGAACTCATCGTTACCCACTGAAAAAAGCTAAAAATTGTTTTTGTATTGACAAACGAATATCTTTCTCACAGATATTTTTATAAATTCCACTGTTTGCTTGCTCTTTTCAATTTTCGATATTCAAAAGAAAGAAAAATTAATTAAAAAAAAAACTCATTCTCCTTGTTAATAAATTTAATTTCAATCAATTTCCCATAAAGTCTACAGTTTTTTTGTTATTTTATTATGAGCAGATTTTTGAACTACAGAACATTGGAAAGTTTCAGTACCTACATTAAGAAGACCGTTTTTTTTTAAGAATTCTACTCAGTCTAGACCATTGGTCTTGTGAAAAAGTTCTATTGTGGCTTATCACATGCATAAATTCTAAAAAAAAATTAATACTTATGATACTAAACAGTATCTATATCAATGACGGCTAATCAGAATTAGAAGTGTGTTAAGGTGGTGAAGCGGGTGTTATCCTGCGTGTGTTTGTCAATCGCTTATACCGCCTTTACTCACCCTAAAACCCTAAATACGTTTTTCGTTATATAAAATTGGATATTTTTTTTGGCTTTACCATTAAGGTTTGATACACGCTGGGTTTTACCAATGACGATAAGTTAATATTCATTTTGGAAATAAAACAATGTATCTACATAAAAATTGTGTCCCTAAATTTTGTGTAAATTTGCCTTTTTTTTTTAATTTTCTAAGAATTGTTGCCCCATATTACGTTTCACAAACGTTTCTTTGTGCTATTGTTATAAAAACTTATTCATGTTGATAACAAAAGTTTGATTTTGGTTAATTTTCTAAAGTTTCACAGAAATTATTGTTAGTTTATAGTTTTAGATTTTTGGGTTGTCACTTATTAAATGATTTAAGAGTAAACTTTAATGGTTGAAATAGGTTAAAAATCTTGGGACTTTAAATTCAATTCCGTTGATGTTCTTGAGGTCCCCAAGACGCCAATCAAAAGTTCATTTACTACTTCGGGACATCTATTTAGTAAAAAACTGCTCGATAAGACAAATTAATTTACATACAATTAGTCCTTAAGTCGTTAATTTGCCGATGTCGCTTATCTCTCAATCTACGAAGAAGATAATAAACAATGGTGTGTTTCCACGTAAAAATACTTAAATTTAGAAATCTTACTGTGATTTTTTCAGACTTTCGATAACGTTTCGTAATAAATAATTGTATCGTTTTTTTTCTTTTTTCAAATTTAATCCGACAATTAAATTCGAATATCTCGAGTGAGATTCAGTCTAGTCTAAATTTGTAATCTTTAAGTCGATACAAGCAGAAACAGGAACCGTGATAACCTTTTCAACGACTGCAGGGTATTCATGTACAAGTTCGATTCAAAAATCATTCAAAACTTGAATCAGCTACTTCAAATTTTTGTTTTAATGAGGATGAATCCTTAATATCGATCGAGTTCTTATACTGCTTAAGAGGCAGTTAACATTGATTGTTTAGTCTGATTTGCGAATGGATTTTGTTCTAAGTGGCTGTACTGTAAGTCCACCTCTGGAAAATATCCATCAAGAATTTCTTTAGGTTCAGTAGATGTTCTTATATGGTTTTACCTACCTTCATTTGTAACTGATTTATTTTATTTTATTAATGATTTATGTGCTTTTTGGGTAAATTAATATAGAATATTAAAGGATATGTTCTTTTTGGACCTCGATAAAAAATTTTAAAAATGTCCGGACCCCACATAAAATATATATGGATATAGTNTACCAACGTGGCTTAATTAGATTGATAATTCCAGGGCCGTACTGGCCTGGGAGGCCGGGTGTGTTCAAAACACCTTTGGTTATAGGGATATGGAGTTTTAAATACGGAGGTAGTGGAATTTATACCGCTTGGGTTAAGGAGGTTTTAGGATTCAAAAGGCTTGGGTTAAGGAGTTTAAAATGCTTGAGTTATGAGGTTATAAGGTTCAAAGAGCTTGAGCTCTGAGATTACAGAGTTTTAAATACGGAGGTTATGGGATTTAAATCGCTTGGGTTTTGGGGTTACAGGGTTCAAAAGGTTTTCATTATGAGGTTATGGGTTTTTTAATACGATGTTTAAAAAGTCTAAAACTCTTGGGTTATGGGATTAAAGGATTTAAATGTAAGTTATGGGTTTTAAACCACTTGAGTTATGGGGTTGTAGGGCAGCGGTTACCATTTTCTTTTTTGCTACAGAAACTTTTTTTACCCACCCTTTTTTGGCGGAACCCCACATCGACAAAAACTAAACTGACCATGATAACCTTCTCAACGACTGCAGCGTATTCATCTTTAAGTTCGATCCAAAGTTTATTCAAATTCGGATTTTCATTTTAAAGTTTTATTAATATCAATCAAGTTCTCTTACTCCAACATAACATTGATGATGTGGCGGACAATCGTATATATTTTTTTGTAGATATTTTTTAAGCATTCGTTTTCATTATTTTACTTCAAATTCATTTCATTTCAAATATTATTTCAATTCATTTCAATTTCTTATCTTGTACATATTTTGGTTTCCATTCAATCTAAACTCTATTGTTCTTTCAATCAGTTTTACCTAGAATTCCAACTTCAACCATACCTGCATGCACTCCCATACCAATATCTGGATTTACCCTTAATTAATTGCTTTCTCTTGAACTCTATACTGCTTAATTCTACGTATTCCTACAAACTAGTGTCTTCACCCTCTCTCTCACTACCTTTCCTTCTAGAGCATTCTATCAAATTTACTAACAACCCTGTCCCATAAATACTTTCAAAAATTTATATCTTTATACACTACCCCCCTTCAGGGGGTGTCTTTTGAAGATTTCCCCTCCTCGAGGCTAAACTAAACAAAAAAAAAAAACCCACCACAAAAAATCGACGGATCGTTAACCTTGTAGGTCGGTTGGTCGTGGTTGCTGTTGTCACCTCTCGTAGTTTAGTGGTGAGAACGTTGGTGCGTGAAGCCAAAGGTCCCGGGTTCGAATACCGGCGGGGGTGTGACAACAGCAACACTTTTTTCCTCATTAATTTGAGGTAGTTTGTAAAGAGTAAAATTTAAAATTGAAAAAATTATTTCAAATTAATTAATATTTCATATATTTCTATACAATGAGTATTAATTTTGTCAATGCTAATAATCTCACCGATTAAGAATAACAACGATTTCGCTGCATTTCGTATAAACAAATTAATGCGTTAGTTATTATTATTGCTATAAGTTTCGATGATTACCGTACTTGATATACATTAAAAAAATTAATTTACATTGCTAACAAATTTAATTCTGGTTGATTTCATACAGCTTTTCCAAAAATTATTGTTAGCTATTTTACGATTTTAGATTGCTGAGTTGTTGTTTATTATCCAAAGTAATATTATAAAAGCGAATATGAGTACACACATTGTCAGGGGTAGAGAAACGGACGTAGGGTAGACAAATTAGTTTTATGTGGTCGTCGATGATCCTTGACAAGTATTCAGGACATCAATGCGAGCGAAGCGGCCGGTAAAACCTATCATGAAATTTTGTACACATTGTCAGGGGTTAGTGTATACGCGTAAGAAGTGAAACTTCTTTAGATTGTATATTATAATAGTAGATATTAAAAAAAAAAAAAAAATGGCTTATTAACTAATTTACTAAGAACAAGGAAAATACAATTTTATTTCGAGCAAACGAATGCGGAAAATTGGTTTGGTTTTTTTAAAAACTTTTGTGCATGCAACATACAAAACTACAGAGGGGAATTATAAGTAAATACAAACACAAACGCATATGCAATACATATATTGTAGAAAACGTAGGCGCTATCTGGTGACAACTTGTCGAAATGACAATTTTCGTATTATCGGTTGCTACTAACAAGTTAGCTTCTGTAGGCTGTTAAAATGACTCCTTGTTGACAAAAGTATCTACCAGGTGTCACACGTGGCGCGTGACGTGGCGCGTGAAGCGTGACTTTACATTTTTCGGTTTTATACTCTATCGTCGATAAAGAAGTTTCATTTCAAAAATTGATAAAAAGTATGCTTTTTCTTGAATCACGATATCTATATAAGCAATTGTATCCAATTTGCTATATCTTTACGTAGGACAGAATGGACTTATTAGAAAAAATTGTGTAGTTGTTTCGTAATTGAATTTGTTGGTTAATGTTTATTACTGAGCTATTTCTGCAGTGGGACAGAAACTCGTCGCTTTATTCATTATTTTAAATACATGGAAATTGAATCCCTATTTTTTGGGGTAATTCTTCGCGTTTTTTAATTTCCTAAAAAACCGACGTTAAAGATAAAATTGATCGTGTTTTGGCGTTGGGGTTCTGAGCTCTTTTGTTTGTTCTACAACAACCGCCAAAGTTTTTCCAATCTTCATATTTCTATGAAATTCTATGACATTGTTAGTTACTAATAGTGGATTAATATGCAATATTAATTTGAAATCATTTTTTCGATTTAAATNTGTGGTCGTCGATGATCCTTGACAAGTATTCAGGACATCAATGCCAGCGAAGCCGCCGGTAAAACCTATCATGAAATTTTGTACACATTGTCAGGGGTACAAAAAAGGTCGTGGGGTACTTTTTATTTAGGAAAAAGTATTGTTTTGGAGGGATAGGCAAATTAGTTTTATGTGGTCGTCGATGATCCTTGACAAGTATTCAGGACATCAATGCCAGCGAAGCCGCCGGTAAAACCTATCATGAAATTTTGTACACATTGTCAGGGGTACAAAAAAGGTCGTGGGGTACTTTTTATTTAGGAAAAAGTATTGTTTTGGAGGGATAGGCAAATTAGTTTTATGTGGTCGTCGATGATCCTTGACAAGTATTCAGGACATCAATGCCAGCGAAGCCGCCGGTAAAACCTATCATGAAATTTTGTACACATTGTCAGGGGTACAAAAAAGGTCGTGGGGTACTTTTTATTTAGGAAAAAGTATTGTTTTGGAGGGATAGGCAAATTAGTTTTATGTGGTCGTCGATGATCCTTGACAAGTATTCAGGACATCAATGCCAGCGAAGCCGCCGGTAAAACCTATCATGAAATTTTGTACACATTGTCAGGGGTACAAAAAAGGTCGTGGGGTACTTTTTATTTAGGAAAAAGTATTGTTTTGGAGGGATAGGCAAATTAGTTTTATGTGGTCGTCGATGATCCTTGACAAGTATTCAGGACATCAATGCCAGCGAAGCCGCCGGTAAAACCTATCATGAAATTTTGTACACATTGTCAGGGGTACAAAAAAGGTCGTGGGGTACTTTTTATTTAGGAAAAAGTATTGTTTTGGAGGGATAGGCAAATTAGTTTTATGTGGTCGTCGATGATCCTTGACAAGTATTCAGGACATCAATGCCAGCGAAGCCGCCGGTAAAACCTATCATGAAATTTTGTACACATTGTCAGGGGTACAAAAAAGGTCGTGGGGTACTTTTTATTTAGGAAAAAGTATTGTTTTGGAGGGATAGGCAAATTAGTTTTATGTGGTCGTTGATTTTTTACTCGTATTGACGTGACATGTACATGTACACAATCTTTGATAATTAAATGTATCTTAATTAACTTATGGTCTATGTTATCGAGAGAGGAGTACACTTCAAACGTCAAATGTATTGTTTTTTACATTATCTGTAATCATTCCATACATAACAATATTTTAACGACAATTTCCTCCAATGTTATTAATAGGTTTAATTAGATATTAACGAATGATTAATTAAAAAAAAACAAATGACGGACAAATTGATTCAAAAGAGTTTATTCATCTTGCTAACGGTTTCAATTTTAGTAATTAAATTTGTTACAAATTTGGTAGTTTTATATGCTACTTTAAGAGGAGCAGATTGTTGAGTCCTGTATAATATTCACCTGTGTTCCATTAAGGTTTCTTGCTTCAAGTATTTGATTAACACTGGCTTGTTGTGCTGACGTCAAACTACTATTTCGGCCCATCACATACAGAAATTCTAAAAAACAAAAACGAAAAATTGATTAGGTTTCTTGAGATTAGAGCTCCGGTTTGAGTCTGGTACCCAGCGCATCCACCACTTTTTTTAGGTACCACATAATAACACCGAATATTTGACAGCGTTGGGTGTTTCTACCACAGAGAAAAGGAAAAACAAACACCAACAATAATAATTAATTAATTAAAGTATAACAAAAACCCTACCTAATGAAAATTGGTAATTAAGATTGTATTGGGATAGGTCGTTTGTCCTAATTTGTATTATTTATCGATTACTATAAAAAAAAAACTTGGATGTTTCATTCCCACCAGCCAGTAATGCTGATGGGCGGGCAGTCCCTCCGGACTATGCCGGAAGGTAGGGCGGAAGGCCCTCTTCAGCCTGCTTTCAGGAATCGTGGGAATGGGTGGGTGGTGGTTCGGGTGAGAAAGATGAGACGGACGAAATGAAGACAGAAGAGAATGAA